GCTCTATTTCTGTAAATGTCTGAAACCTTCTACAACTTCAAAAAAAAGTAAGAGTGAAAAAGACCTGGGGAAATGATATTAACATATGTTGGGGGAAGAACTAGGAATGCTTTCTTCCCATTTTATTATTATTATTATTATTATTTTTAATTTGAGAGGAAGCAAAGCGAGCAGAGGGAGAGAATGCTCCAATCTGCTGGTTCACCCCTGAAATGTCCACAAGGCCCAGGCTGGGCCAGGTCAAAGGCAGGAACTCAACCCTTATCTCCCACCTGGGTGGCAGGAACACAACTACACGGGCCACTGTCACTGCCTCTGGAGTCCTCCGTTTGCAGAAACTGAGTGTTAAATCCAGGCATTCTGATGTGGGCTGAGGGCATCTTAACTGCCAGGTTAAACACACACCCTCTTGGCTCTACTTTTTTCACATTTTCTATCAGTATTACTTTTATACTGGAACACATAAATAAACTACGTAAAGAAATTCACATGCTCCTGGTAGGCTGATCTTCCCTCTATGTTCTGTAAACAAGCAGACCAAGCTAGACCATAACCTAACAGGGTCAAAACATCAGGACCAGCAGCATGTCCCCTGTCTTTCCCAGTTAACTCCCTGAGAAAGGGCACTCTGTAAGAACAAGTATGGACTTTAAGTATAAACTAGCCAAGAGCACAGAGGCACATAAGCGCAAAACAGATAAGAAACCAATGATACAGTTCCTCTTCACATTTAGGCAGAGTTTGGGTCAAAGATCTTCCAAGTGGAAAGCTGACCTTCCCAATGGGCAGACAGGTCACAGGGTGGGGATCTACCCCCCGAGCCTTTGAGACCACGGAAGACCAGAGCTCCCAGGGTCAGCTGCCTTCTAAGGCCACCTCCACTTTTCTCCAGTGATGGAACAATGACTTCCAAAAGCACCATATGATAAAAGCTTGGGAAGCACTGGTTTAAGCTAGATCTGCATTCCTCAAAAGCTAAATAAAGGCTACTGAGAGGCAATAGTATGATGGAATCAAAACGACTATTTGGAAAAAGACCTAATTATCACCTCATAGGTCTATACTACATATCAAAGGTGGGCAAACTTTTTGTTGCTGTAGTTGGCAAGGGCCATCTGGATATTTACATTATTTGTGAGCCACACAAAATTATCAACTTAAAAATTAGCTTGCTGCAGATTTATTGGCTTTCGAGTCACACCTGCAGGCTTTATACAGTTCTCACCTCTGCTATATATAATTTGCACCCCCTCCTACACCTCACTTAGGAAATCTTTATATTCCTACATTACTCAATGAAATAACCTCCAAATATAAATGTTAGCTCAGTGGCCTAAAGTAAAATTCTGGAGACAGAAGCACAATTGGACTCTCTGTATCAATGCTAAATGTACTCTAGATAAGTTTGAAAAACACTTCATTTGTTAATATTGAAAATGAAGTACTGGCTGGCGCCGCGGCTCACTAGGCTAATCCTCCGGCTGCGGTGCCGGCACACCAGGTTCTAGTCCTGGTTGCTCCTCTTCCAGTCCAGTTCTCTATGGCCCGGGAAGGCAGCGGAGGATGGCCCAAGTGCTTGGGCCTTGCACCCGCATGGGAGACCAAGAGGAAGCACCTGGCTCCTGGCTTCGGATTGGCATAGTTCCGGCCATGGTGCAGCACCGGCCATAGCGGCCATTTGGGGAGTGAACCAACGGAAGGAAGACCTTTCTCTCTAACTCTGCCTGTCCAAAAAAAAAAAAAAAAAAAAAAAAAAAAAAAAAGAAAATGAAGTACTTAAGTGTCAGCAGAAAATTTTCATAGAATAGGAGCTTAGAGCTGTAAAGCTCATTTTTTTTTTAAAGATTTATTTACTTATTTGAAAGAGTTACAGAGAGAGAGGAGAGACAGAGATAGAGGTCTTCCATCAGGTGGTTTACTGCCCAAATGGCTACAACGGCTGGGGTTGGGGCAGGCCAAAGCCAGGAGCTACTTCCAGGTCTCACAAGTGACTGAAGGGGCCCAAGCACTTGGGTAATCTTCCACTGCTTTCCCAGGCCATTAACAGAGAGCTAGATTGGGAGTGGAGCAGTTGGGACTTGAACTGGTGTCCATACAGAATGCCAGCATTGCAGGCATCAGCTTAGCCAGCTATACCACAGCACCTGCTCCAAAGCCCATCTTTTAAATGGCAAAAACAAAACAAAACAAACAAAAAAAAAAAAAACCAAACAAACCTGAAGCCCAAATTATTTCTTCATTTCAGCTGAACAGGAACTAGTCTCCAGAGCTCCTGGCTCCAAAGACTGACTTTCCAGGATACCTCCAGACAGTTCCTGCTAATTGTGACTTTTAATCTTTCTAAAACCATAAAACAATGTCCAAGCACTTCCTGCTCTTCAAGGAAGCAGACTCTCTTGTTAATCTGCAACTAGCAAATCACTGTTTGAGAACTGCAATTTAGCTTTACTCCACTAATTAACTTTAAATTTGTGGTACTTAAATATATATATATGTTCCTTTACAAGTTCTTGTTTATTTTTGTGAAATACTAAGGCGACTTTTTTGTTTCTGCATAGATGAGGAAATACCTTCAAAGCAAGCTATCAGGTTCTTTATTATGGTTATTTTAGGGGCACATATTGGGCTTGATCAAAATCTGTGTAAACAAGTCATGTTTGAACAGAGCTGTACTCTGTAAGAATGAAACACCACTAACAGAATTTCCTTCCTTATAAAAACAGATCAGACAAGAGGAGTCCCCAGCCAGTAAGAGAACGTGAGATGGGTGCAGAAGTAGAAATATGAACAGGCTAAAATAGCATCAGTTGAATGAGGAAGAGGAAGAAGGCATTAAGGAGATAAACACACACACACACAGACATGACATTTGCATAAATCCTTCATACACAGAGAGCAACTCTAAATCACCAATTGCCTAGACTCAGGGAAGAAATATTAAGGAAGCTGTAACTTCTGCATCCATACTGGCTAAAGCTGTCCTGTGCTACCAAGCAAAAAAACCGCTGCATTCTTTACATTTCTCTTACCAGTTTCAACAAGAAAAACGTAAGCCTTCCTTCTCCAGGAAAAAAAGTGAGCGGTGTTTTTAGTCTTTAGCACTACAGTGTGTGTCTTGAAACTCGAGGACACAAGCCTGCATCGCTGGCGGTGACATATGAGTGGGTTTCTCATTTTGTCTCCGGCCAGTTCTGCAAGAACAGTGTTGATTCTTGAAAGCTATAGGAAAGGGTAATGCTGAACCATGTTCTCCCTGCACCCATCACCCCTCCAAAACCTTGAAAGTCCTATCCCCCACAATGGTTTGCAATGAATGTAATGATCTGAAGTTCAGAGTCTTTGGAAAAGGGGGCTCTAGGCACCTAAGGTATGAGTGAATTACAACAGATGAGTGAAATCAGAGGCTGGGTCTGGGTCATATCAGAAAAAGGTAACTCGTTTATGGTGGAATTTCTGAACTTTTCTAGATCTATGCCCCAGCTGTGAATTTGCAGAAATAAAACAGGAGATACACAGGTTGCTTTTAGTCTCCCTTGGGGTTCTTGCCATTTACATTAGATCACCTGCCTCCTTATGGAAATGTACACAAGCCTTCTTTCCCACTCCTTACAAACAGATTCACCCCTACCTTCACTCTTCAGGTCAAAGGCTGACAGAAGTAAGAACACTCACAATCTCCAGACTCACCTCACACACACCCAGGAGGCACTTCAGCCATCTAACAAATATTTGTGAGTTTACCACGTGCCAGGTGTGAGGATAAAAAAAAAAAAAAAAAGGACTCAAGGGACTCACAGACCAGCAGCATAACTCACAATCACTTCAAACTCAGGGGACAGTGTAAGTCCACTGCAGGGGGAGAAAGACCAGGGGATGGAGCATGACCTCATCACTGACCACCCAGACTGCAGCACGTGGCTGGTCTCCCCGCTACCGAACTCTTTCCTTTTCAATCTGCCCTGCATTTCAGCTGCCAGAACCAAATCTAGAATTCCACTTTCAAGAGGCTTCAAAGCCTCCCTCCTGCTCGTCACATCTCCTTAGAGAAGTCTTCCACAGGGTAGCTAGCTCCCCGCTTCAACTTTGTTTCCTGCTCAATATGGCTCCCTTCTGTCAATCCCTTTCGGAGAGGTAGGAGCCAAGCCTAATTCAAGTGTCTGCTCCTCGACCCCTGAGCAGGCTTCATTCTAGGCACTTCCTAAACACCGTGCCCTCTATGTCAATACAGACCCATTAACTGTCAGGACACTCTGTCAGACCCCCGCATTAGCGTGCTTCCTAACACCGGGCATGCTATTTCCCAAGGTACTTTTAACATTCCCATCCCAAACAGATGTTCCTCTTCCCAGCCACCCGTAGTGCAGTCAGAGGAAATCGCCTGCAGCTCGGGCACGGGCGTCCCAACCTCGCGTCTTCTAAGAGACGGAGAGAGGGGTTTGGGGCTGTTGCAAACTACGAAGGGGAAAAAAGCAAGCGAGCAAGAGGGAGAAGGGAAGGTCTGTGCTCTGGGAGGAGCTGGGAGAGCGCGGGGAGGAGACCCCCAGGAATGACTCCTTGAGGGAGGGCAGAAGAAAGCTGTGGACTAGGGACTCTGGATAAGGAAGAGGTCGCCAACCCCGCTAAGGGTGGACAGGTTCCACCGTCAAACAAAGACGCCGGGAGTCGGAAGGTGAGGGTGGAGAGGCTACAGAGATCCGGGCATCTCCGAAGGTCGAGCGGCAAGGAAGCAAGCCGGGACACGACGCGTGCCTCGGGAGATGCGGTTGCCAAGAGGGACGAGGTAGGTGACCAGGACGGCTCTAGGGCGAGCGGTTATGGGGCACGGCTTCTAAGGGGGCGCGGGGGCGGGGAGGTGTTTTTGAGTGGGATCGTGTCCCAAACGGAGAAACGTTTCCCACGGCAGTGTTCCCCGAAAAGGGAAATCCCGGGGATGCGGACAACGTTCAAGGGTTGAAGGACCAGCATTTCCCAGCCCCAGCCCGGCTTCCCTACACACTCACCGCGTCTCCTCCAAACGCCACCGCTCCAGCTGCAGCTACCGGCTGGCGCAGCCGCACAGAGCGCGCCCCGCCCCACGTGACTCGACTAAGCCCGGCCCCTCCCACGTGACCCACAAGACACGCCCACCCCGGCCTTCCTTACGTCACTGTGCTCCACGTGCTCTGGTTTCACCCCGCCCTCCTTTCAAGATGGCGGTGCTTGGTTGTGGCGCGTCCGGCCTCCGGGCCAGGGGTCATGGCTTGCGTTTGGAGAGTTTCTTCCCTGTCGTCTCAAAGCCATTTTGTTCAACCGCTGCTGCGTCTAGGCCCCTGGATGCTCAACGATTAGCGGAGAAGCTCCGAGCCCAGAAACGGGAAGAAAAGCTGAAGGAGCGGGTGAGGACCACAACTCCCGAGAGGCAGTGCGCTCACCGGTTTCCCTGGCGGGGAGAGAGGCCGGAGGGTCCTCTGACGGATAGTAAGTAGGTGATGAGGACAGATGGTGGAGAGTGGGGAGAAAGCGGAGGGGAGCGGTGTCTTCCCGCGGCCTGGATCCTCAACTTCTGCCAGGCTCAGCCCTAACCACCGCGTGGTAGGCAGGCAGGACGCAAACCACCCACGCGCTCGAGGTACCGAGGAAGGTGCACCCCCTTCCCAGACGCTGTGCAGGGCCTTCCTCACCAGGCGCTTCCCCTGCTGCTGCTCTCTCCCCAGGTGCCCACAAACCCTGTTCAGCGGAGGGTGCGAGAGTTAGTGCGGTTCACACAGCAGCTGCAGCGAGTCCACCCGAACGTGCTTGCCAAGGCACTGAGCCGAGGGATCCTCCACCAGGACAAGGACCTTGTGGTCATCAGCAAGCCCTACGGTCTGCCTGTGCACGGTAAGGGCCCTGTGGGAAAGGGGCGGGGAGCTGCTGCTGCTGCTTTGCGCTGCCGGAGGCAACGCTGACGCACCAGCCCCAAACCCTTGCTTTCAGGTTAATCAAGGCTTTGCAGAGTGTTAGCCCTTCTAAGACACTATTGAGTGGGGGCCGGCGCTGTGGTGCAGTGGGTTAACGCCCTGGTCTGAAGCCCCGGCATCCCATATGAACGCCAGTTCGAGTCCTGCTGCTCCACTTCCCATCCAGCTCTCTGCTATGGCCTGGGAAAGCAGTAGAAGATGGCTTAGTCCTTGGGCCCTTGCACCTGCATGGGAGACCTGGAAGAAGCTACTGGCTTCTGACCTCGGATCGGCGCAGCTCCGGCCATTGCAGCCAATTGGAGAGTGAACCAATGGATGGAAGATCTCTATCTCTCTGCCTCCTTCTCTCTCTGTGTAACTCTGACTTTCAAATAAATAAATCAAAAAGAAAAAGAAGAGAGACTATTGAGGATGCACAGATAAGTAAGACAGTTCTCACCTTCTGAACTGTGACAGTCAGCAGTGATTGCCCAAGATACTCCATGCGTGCAGACCTGCATAGGGATCGCTGCAGAGAACTTAAAAAAAAAAAACAAAACAAAACAAAAAACTGTGTGCTTTTGGCCTTCAAGTCAGTTTCCAACAAAACTAGGGAAGAGAAATAACAAAAGGAAAAAAATGAAAGGAACGAGTATTTGTGTGTTAGTGTGTACCCAACATAAAAACCCCAGAGTGCCTGGAACTGAATAGACACTCAGATGTCCTTGAGTAAATGTTGAATGTAGTTGTTGGGAACAGCCGAGTTGAGTCAGGGAAGACTGATAGAAAAAAAAGAATTTGTGTTGCGGAGGGGAAAAGCATGTTATAGCTAGAAGAACATGATGCTTTGGGGGAAGTGTGGAATTGATTGTACATGAAGAAAAAAATGAAAGCAGTAATCTGTCCAAGGTCAAATGGCATGTGAGTGAACTAGAACCCAGGAATGCCTAATCCCCAAGCCCACCTTCTGTTTGTTTGTTTGTTTGTTTTTTAAAGAATCATTTTATTTATTTGAAAGACCGAGTTACAGAGAGAGGTAGAGCCAGAGAGAGAGAGGGCTTCCATTCTGCGGGTACACTCCCCAAATGACCGCAATGGCCAGAGCTGAGCTGATCTGAAGCCAGGAACCAGGAGCTTCTTCCAGGTCTCTCACACGGTTCAGGGGCCCAAAGACCTGGGCCATTTTCCACTGCTTTCCCAGGCCATAGCAGAGAGCTGGATTGGAAGAGGAGCAACCAGGATGCAAACCAGCGCCCACATGGGATACCAGCGCTGCAGGCTGGGGCTTTAACCCACTATGCCACAGTGCCGGCCCCCAAGCCCATCTTCTTAACCACTCTCCTCTAATGCCACAGGAGGGCCCATGGTCTTGCCAGGTGTGTCTAACGAGAATGCCACATGCTCTAGGACCGTGCTTCTCATGCTTTAATATGCTTAAAAAAGATTTATTTATTTATTTGAGAGGCAGAGAGAGAGAGATTGAGATCCTCCATCTGCTGATTCACTCCCCAGATGGCTGCAGTGGCCAGGGCTGAGCCGATCTGAAGCCAGGAGCCAAGAACTTCCTCCAGGTCTCCCATGCGGGTGCAGGGGCCCAAGGACTTGGGCCATCTTCTGCTTTCCCAGGCCACAGCATAGAGCTGGATGAGAAGTGGAGCAACTGGGACTCGAACCAATGCCCATATGGGATGCCGGCACTGCAGGCAGCGGCTTTACCCACTATGCCACAACACCGGCCCCTTTAATATACTTCTGAGTCACATGAATGCTTTGTTAAAATGCAGGTTTGAATTAGTCTGGGTTGGAGGCCAGAGGTTCCATTTCCAAGCTTTCTAGACACAGGAATGTTGCTAGTCACTAAGCCACATTAGTACTCTCACTGTAGAAAACACTGACTGTTTATTTAGTAGGGGCTTTTTTTCTCTAGAAGAGTTGCTGGGTGAGATCTTTTCCTGGGTACTCAAACCTCTGGCTTTTCCCTGTGAAGGTGGCCCTGGGGTCCGGCTGTGTATCAGTGATGTGCTGCCTATCTTGGCAAAGATGCTTCGCGGCCACAAGGCAGAACCCTTGCATCTGTGCCACCGGCTGGACAAAGAAACCACAGGCGTGATGGTGTTGACTTGGGAGAAGGAAGTGGCACATCAAGTCCAAGAGTTGTTTCGAACGCGTCAGGTGGTCAAAAAATACTGGTAAGTGGCCCATGCATGGCAGTAAAGGGGTGTAAATAGAGGCATCCCTTTCATGTGTTCGTGTTATGTAGCAGGAACTCCTGTAATACTAGTTGAAGGCACCATACCTTAGTGAGGATATAAAAAGTATGTGATACGACTTTGGTGTTTCAAATATTAAGAGTGCACTGTACATAAAAATTATCAAAAATTTGTTATGCAAGTAATACTCTTGTGATTTCATACCTGTGCTAAAATAGTCAGATAACAAAGATAACCAAAAACAAAAGCAAAAAAACCCTGGAGAATCCATCCACTCTGCTATGATGGTCTCTTTCTTTGTTGTGGCAATCCCCATGACCAGTTTATATTTTATTCTTCTTGTTCTACACTTGATCTTAGCCAAAAGGCTGAGAAGCAACTCAGTGCATTTATGTTCAGGTGTACTATTTACAGCCTCAGTATATCTATAACACACACACACACACACACACACACACGTTTACTTAACTGTGTCTTGGAAAATCTCTCCATGTTATGCATATAGCTCTACTACTCTCTTAAATTACTTGAGAGACAGAGAAAGTTCCTGTCTGCTGGATCACTCCCCAAATGCCTACAACAACTGGGACTGGGCTGGGGCCACAGCCCAGACCTGGAAAAGCAATGCAGGTTTCCCTCATGAGTGGCAGGAACCATATAACTTGAGCCATCACCACCGCCTCCCAGGGTCTACATGAGCAGGATGCAAGAGTCAGGAGCTGGAGCCAGGTGTTGAACCTAGGGACTTTGATGTGGGACATGAATGTCTCAGCCCGTGTCTTAACTATTAGGCTAAATGCCTGCCCCATAGGAGCTGTCTCCTTTTTTAATGGCTCCGTGGTGTTCCAGTGTATGGATGGATGTTTAGTTAATCTCTCATTTTTCAGAGCCTATTTCAAAGAATATATGAATTTATCATCAGGTAAACTCCTAGAAATGAATTTGGTGGGTCAAAGGGTCATTGTGATACGTCAGGTTAAGCCTCTGCCTGCTCAATACCAGTGTCCTACATGAGCGCTGGTTCAAGTCCTTGCTGTTCCACTTCCAATCTAGCTCCCTGCTAATATGCCTGGGAAAACAGCTGGAGGATAGCCCAAGTGCTTGGGACCCTGCACCCATGTGGGAGACCTGGAAAAAGCTCCTGGCTTATTGGATACCTTTGTCATAGGCTGCAGCTTAACCTGCTATGCTACAACGCTGGCCCATAAAATAGATCTTTTTTTTATTCAATAATAGATTGTGTCCTTTTACATTCCCACCAGTCATGATTAGTACCCACCTCCCTCCATGCCAACCAAAGCATTTTTGAAAGGTTTACCGCTCTGATGGGTTAAAAAAAATTTAATTGCCATTTTTCTGTGTGCTAATGATGTTGACTCCCTTCATTTTTTATTTTTTTTAAAGATTTATTTATTTGAAAGGCAGAGTGACAGAGAGATAGGGATAGAGATCTTTCATCTGCTGGTTCAGTCCCCAAATGGCTGCAACAGCTGGGGTTGGTCTAGGCTGAAACCAGGACCCCAAAACTCCATCCAGGTCTCCCACATGGGTTGATAGAGGGCCAGGTACTTGGGCCTTCCTGCACTGCTTTCCCAGGCACATTAGCAGGGAGCTGGATCAGAAGTAAAACAACTGGGACTCCAGCTAACAGTTCGATATGAGATACCTGTGTCACAAGTGACACCTTCACTTGCTAAGCTACAACGCCAGCCCCTCTTTTCATGCTTTAGTAGCCTTTTTTTTTTTTTTTTTTTAGTTTTATTTTCAGGAGTAGACTTCTTTTGCCTATTTTTAAAAATTCCCTATTATTTTCTGTTTCATTTGTAAGTATCAGATCAGCGCGATGCACCGGCCGAAAAAGAAAAAAGATTGATTTATTTGAAAGGCAGAGTTACAGAGAAGGCAAGGCAGAGAGAGAGAAGTCTTCCACCTGCAGGTTCACTCCCCAAATGGCCACAATGGCCAGGGCTGGGCCAGACCGAAGCCAGGAGCCAGGAGCTTCTTCTGGGTCTCCCACATGAATGCAGGGGACCAAGTACTTGGGCCATCCTTCTCTACTTTCTAAGATGCATTAGCAGGGAGCTGGATCAGAAATGGAACAGCCGAGACTTGAACCAGCGTCCATATGAGATGCTGGTGCTGCAGGAGATGGTTTAACCTGCTACACCACAGCACCGGCCCCTAAGGTTTAGACTTGATAACCATTTTCATTATCAGTCTTCATGGAGGAATTCACATCAATTAATTAGGCTTTGGTGAATGAGTAGGATTTAGTAGGTAAGATAGAGAAATGTGTTCTAGATTATGGAAATGACATGCACAAAGGAGTGCGGCTTGCTGTCCAGTTTGGAGTGGGGGATGATGGGAAGTAATGCTGGAAAAGTAGGCCCCCACCCAGTTCATGAGGGTCTCACATATTAGCTACAGTAAGTGGAAGTTGGAAGTAGACCATAGCAGGCAACCACTTAGCATTTGCTGACTTAAACTCTAATAACAGACTTACTATATCCTGGTTCTGTTTTTGAATTTCTTACTAAACTTTGGCTTCCTTGAGCACATGGGTTTTTGTCTTGTTGGTCCAATATGGATCTGATACTTACCTGAGTCAGTGAATATTTGCTGCCTGGACATTTTGGGGCAATGATGTAAAGGGTAATTTGGTACAACTCAGTTTAAAATATAATGTATTGGGTACCAGCCAAACTGCCACCCACTGAAGCAGGTGTACAGCGTGTGAAGTAGCACATTTGATTTGAGTGGATTTTTGACTTCTCAGTCAGTGACTCTGCAGTAGGCCCTTGGTAACCAGGAGAAGGACCTCTCCTTACGTTTAAGGACAGATTACATTCAGTCTTCCACCTGTGTGCAGTGATGAGCAGGAGACCACCAACAAAAGTGATTTGGGGCGAGTTACTGAATTGTGGCTCCTGTGACTTCTTTGGGCACTGTTTCTTCCTGTGTTACCTGCCTTCCAAATAGGGTAAGAGTAGTCTTTTGAGTTTTTCATCAGAATCGTTCACTCATCTGTTCTTTTATTTGTTCACTTAGTGTGCAATCGGAACATCTTTTATTATTCAAAAAAGAAAAGCAGGATATAAAACCATATTATCCTAGTTTAATTTTAATTAAATGGTACATATCCATTTTTAAAAAGACTGGAATGGAAGATCATGTTATTCATACAGATTTTTCTCTTTTTCTCCCAAATATTCAAAATTCACACATATGACTTTGGTAGTAAAAAAGAAATGCTTGTAAAGAGTAGCCAGCTCCCAGGCTAAGCACTATAGCCAGAGAACCACATGAGTCTCTCCGATCATAAGAGATGACACATTAATGGTGAAGCTCCAGTGTGAAATTTTCTAAGCAGCCAAGTCCGGGGAGCTCCTTCCTGGCTTCTCTGGTTGTAGCAGAGATGCGTGTGTCACCCCCAGGGCCATCACTGTGCACGTCCCTGTGCCCTCGGCAGGAGTTGTGGATATTCCCATCATCGAGAAGGAGGTGCAAGGCCAGCGGCAACACCACAAGGTGGGTGAGCTGCCCCCTGGGGCACGGGTTTCTGCTCTTTCTTGGAAATCATGTCTTGGTTTCTTGGCTTCAGATGACACTGTCCCCCAGCTACCGCATGGACAATGGGAAGATGGTGAAAGTGCGCAGCAGCCGGAGTGCTCACCTCGCTGTGACTCAGTACCAGGTGCTCAGCAGCACTCTCTCCTCTGCCCTCCTGGAGCTGCAGCCCATTACTGGTGAGGGTGCCACCATCCTGCAGTGGCATGGTTATGACCCACACTGTCCAGCCTGCCCCAGAGCCTCACGTGGGGCACAGCCCTTGTCTGAGCAGCTGCGGCTGACTTGCGTGAGACTGTGCTTCTGGTGCTAATCCGGGGCTGGCTAGACAGACGACTGTGTGTAGCAGAAGAATATAGTTAGGATACCTTTATTTAAAAATAGGCAAAGGGATTCTTCAAAAAATCACATTGAATTAATCTAGCAATTCCACTTCTGGGTATATATGCAAAAGAATTCAAAGCAAGGGGCAGGCAGCTAAAGTCTCTGTTTGCAACACCTGCATCCCCTACTGGAGTGCCTGAGATCCAGTTCCACCTCCACTTTTTTAAGTTTTTATTTATTTATTTGAGAGGTAGAATTACAGACAGAGAGAGGCAGAGACAGAGAGAAAGGTCTTCAGCCCATTGGTTCACTCCCTAAATGGCCACATTGGTCAGAGCTGAAGCCAAGAGCCAAGAGCTTCTTCTGCCACCTCCACTTGTGATACAGCTTTCTGCTGATGTGTACTCTGAAAGGCAGCAGATGGTGGCTTATGTGTTTGGATCCCTGCCGCCCATGAGGGAGACCTGGATGGGGTTCCTGGCTTCCAACTGGCCTAACCCTGGCTGTTGCGGGCATCTGGGGAGTGAACAGGCAGATGGGACACCTCTCTCTTGCTCACTCTCTGGTGCTCTGCCTTTCAAATAACTAAAAAGAGGAAAGCAAGGACTGGAGCACATTTCCACATCCATTGTTCATAGTTGCATTATTCCAGACAGCCAAAAGGTGGAGACAGCCCAAATATCCATTGAGGGAGGCATGGAGAAACAAAATGCAGCGTATGCATACTGTAGGATATTATTTTCAGCCTTAAATGAATTAAAGGAAATGAATGGCACATGCTCCAATCTAGGTGAACCTCACAGGTAAGATAAGCCAGATACAAAAGGACAGACACTGTATGATCCCACCCATATGAGGTACCTAAAGTCGTCAGAGTCAGAGAAACAAGAAGTAGAATGGTGATGGCCAGAAGCTCGAAGGAGGAGGCTGGGGAGTTACTGTTCACTGGGTACGGAGTTTAAGTTTGGGAAGGTGAGAAAGTTCTAGAGACGGATTGGTAGTGATGATTACAAAACTATGTGAATATTTAATACCTCTGAATTGTATACTTAAAAATAGCTGAAGTGAGAAATTTTCTGCAGTTTTTTACTATAGTTTTAAAGTGTGCAAAGCAATATTATTTATCATAATTTAGTAAAATTATAAAAAATTGAGGTATTAATAGATGCCAAGTTAATAATGGTTATCTATGGTAGAAAGAGGGAACAGTGCTGGGGATGGGTACTTGGAGTATTCATAATGTTTATTTCTTAAGTTGGCTGGCACTATGTGGCTATAGTTTATTATGACTCCACATACCTGATTGCAGTTGGGACTTTGCTGGTTTACTGTGCTTTGATTTAATACGATTTGCAACCAGTGCCAGCAATGGAGCATTCTGTAAGTCCTCATAAGCTTGCCTTTTTTTTTTTTTTTTTTTTAAGGAATAAAACATCAGCTTCGGGTTCACCTGTCTTTTGGTTTGGAGTGCCCAATTCTTGGTGATCACAAGTACTCAGACTGGAATAGGTTGGCTCCCCAGGTAATATTGGTTTAATCCCTTTGTTCAAGCCCTGCAGTGTGCACAATAAGGAAGTATTGACTGTCTTCAGACATGGTGGGTCCTGGCTGTCTAGCTCTGGAGACACTCGGTGTCGCTCCCCCTCTTCGTGGAGGAACGACACAGGACCCTGCGCTGTTCTTTCGTCTGCTCGGCCCTCCCCGGGTTTGCTGCTGGTTCTTCCCGGGTTGGCTACTATCCCTTCCACCTCCGTGGAAGGGCAGTTCCCCCTGGCCACATTCCCCACTTCCGCAGGGGAGCGGCACACCGCCGGCCGGCTCGTCTTGGGGGCTGCACAGGTGTTCCTTCAGCTAGATGTTCCCCTTAGATGTTCCTGGTGCATGCCGTCTCTCTCCTCCTTTATAGTCCTCCTCTGCCAATCCTAACTCGGCTGCCCACACGCCGAGTATGCTGCTCTCCAATCAGGAGCAAGTCCTACAGTTTATTGGCTGAACTGGAGGCAGCTGCGTAGAAGCTGTTTTCTCCTCTCCCAGCGCCATATTGTGGGAGAGCAGATGCATAGAATAAGTCTTAATTCCAGTAACTTAGTCTAGTCCGAATTGCTCCCCACAACTCGGAAGCAGTCAGTTGCTGTCCTCAGGGGGCTGCAGATCTGATAGCAAAACCTGCTGCTTCTTTTGTTTAGTCTCAGATTTTGTTGGGAGGCTGTAGGCAAAGAAAAGGAGTCTTTCTGGAGGCTAAAAGCAGCCTTGTATGTGGCTGCTAAAGAACTGTGGTGGACCTTCCTCATGCTGTGATGTTACAGCCCAACCTCTTGGAAGGCCAGAGCTCCTTTGGTGTCGTTGCTTTTCTCCCCGACCTTGGGTTTTGAAACCTTTCTGGACTTGCCCTGAAGCAAGCTGTGCATTCCCTGTGTCTCCCAGGGTGAGGTTAGTATTAGGTCCCTTTAGATGGAAGGCTTCTGACGCGGCATGCTGGGCAAGGATGGACCTTGGCCTTGCTCTCAGGGGTTTGTCTTGTCTTCGTGTAGAAGCTGCCTGGTGGCACCCTGAAGAAGCTGGGCCTGGAGCAGTCGAAGGCCCGCCACATCCCCCTTCACTTGCATGCCCGGCAGCTGATCCTGCCTGCCCTGGGGTCCAGGAAGGAAGAACTCAACTTGACCTGCAAACTTCCTCACTTCTTTGTACGTTCATTGAGCCGCTTGGGCTTAGAAATGCCAAATCAGGATCAAAATGACAAGTGAAGCTGGGCGTCCGGGAGCACAGTGAAAAAGACTGTTCAGTTTGAGCTCTGCTGTTTCATGGACTCCGTTAACTTCTCACTTGAAACAGACTCCAGAAGAGGCAGGCCGGGATAAGTTGAAGAAACCCGGCTGCTTCACGGCTTTCAGTGGAGAGCAGTCTGTTTCCCGATAGCCTGGCCACACTGTGGAAAAGCCTAAGGCCTGCTGGAAGTCTCCTTGCCAAGACGGAAGAGAGCTGAGAGGACAGATCGGGGTGGTCACCGGAAAAGGAGAGCTGAGGGGCAGAAGCTGTGGTCAGAAATGGTTTTCAGCCAGCAGGCAAGCCTGTGAGCTGTCGGGCGGGTCTCCCGGTTGGAGAGAATGTAGTGGCTGAGCGCCTGTCAGAACCCAGGCATTCTGCCCGGCTGCAGTATGAGTACTGATTGCATGAGGGAACTGTGAAGGGTGATTGGGAGGGCGTGAGGTGGCATGTTTGGTGAGCAAGGGAAGCAGATGTGAGTGGCAGGGTCTGAGGCAGTGTGGGGACCCTAACCCGAGGGACATGCCCAGAACCAGTGTTAGCTCCAGCCAGTTGTTGCCATGTGACAACAGATTTTCTCATTTTTTCTGGAGACTCAGGGAGCCCAGATATTTACATGGGTGTTTCTCCCAGTGCATTGTCAGTTACATAAAAATTTGAAACCACTGCTTGGAATGCCCACATTCCATAGCCAAAAGCCTAGGTTTCAGTCTCAACTGTTTCCCATACCAGTTCAAGTACCTGCCACGTATGTGGGAGACCAGGATTGAATTACAACCTCCTGACCATCCCCAATAGTGGGTATCTGGGAAGTGAACCAATGGCTGAAAGATCTGTCTCTGTCTTTCAAGTAAATAAAAATATTTATTTTTAAAAATTAATTTTAAAAATAAGTATGTTTGAAAATCATTTTTGCTTATAAATATTAAACATCTTTTAAAAATTAGAACATTTAATTAAGCACACAATAGGAACCATCAAACATCAGGTGCTAGAGTGCACTTGTAATTAGTTGCCATCTGAGTATTGGTGAAGAGGATCTCACCACTGCCCAGCATTGCCAGAGAGAGGGACCTGTACTGAGGGCAGAGTGGGGTTTTTGGCCTAGTGGTGAAGATGTTTTTTGGGGTTTCCACATTCCACATCCGTAGTGCCTGAGTTCAGCTTCCAGCTTCACTCCTTATTCCAGCTTCCTGCTAAGACAAATGCTAGGAGGCAGCAGGTGATGGCTCGAGTAATTCAGTCCCTGCCACCACATGGAAGACCTAGATTGAGTTTCTGATTCCTGTCTGGCTTGGCCCAACCTTGGCTGTTGTGGGCATTTGAGGAGTGAACCAGTAGATGGAATATCTCTGGCTCTCAAATATATACATAGATTAATAAATAAAGGTATGTGGCAGAGGAGCGGGCATTAGACTTACTCAGGCAGTTAAGGTGCCCTTGGAATACCTGGGTTCAGTTCCTGGCTGTAGCTCCTGATTCCAGCTTCCTGCTAATACAGATCCTAGGAGGCAGTGGTGATTGCTCAAGTAATCGGGTTTCTGCTCCCCTAGAAGTCCTAGATTAAGTTCCTGGCTCCCAGAATATCCCCTGTCCTGCCCCAGCCAGTGTGAGCATTTTGGGGAGTGAACCAGCTGATGGAATCCCTCTTCCTGTCTCTCAAGAAAAAAGTGGCAGGGCCAGCGCTGTGGTGCAGCGGGTTAAAGCTGCAGCTTGCAGCGCCGGCATCCAATATGGGCGCCGATTTGAGTCCAGGCTGCTCCTCTTCTGATCCAGCTCTCTGCTGTGGTCTGGGAAAGCTGTGGAAGATGGCCCAAGTCTTTGGGCCCCTGCACCCATGTGGGAGACCCAGAGGAAGCTCCTGGCTCCTGGCTTCAGTTCAGCTCAGCTCTGGCTGTTGCGGTCATTTGGGGAGTGAACCAGTGGAAAGGAAGACCTTTCTCTCTCTCTGGCTCTACCTTTCTGTAACTCTGTCTTTCAAATAAAAGTGGCAAGTGTGTCTGGGGCCAGGTGTCATGTTGAGGCTCCCGAGGTGATCTGGTCTGCAAACAGATGCTCTGGATATGCAAGGATGACGTGGTGTAGAATCTACTGTCAGGCTAGGCTCTTAGGTGCAGTACAGAGGCAACAGAGGTGGGACCCAACCCTCCCTGAGTTTGGAGCATTGTGGGGTGAGGCTGGGGGACCCATGGTGTGCAGGTGCTGGGTGCAGATGTGAGTAGGACTCTTGTGTGTTCAGAAGTGAACATGTCTCAGTTGCTCAGAACAGGGGTCAGCAATGATGCTCGGAGAAGGGCCAGGTAGTAAATACTTCAGACTTTGCAGGTCACATGAACTCTGTCGAAAGCTCTTCAGATCTGGCACTGTAGCATGAAAGCAGCCAAAGATACCACGTGAATGAATGAGCAAGACTGTGTTCCAGTTTTATTGATAGGCTCTGGAACTTGAACTACATAACAGTTTTCATATGTTAAACATGTTAATCTGCCCAGACTGCTATAGGAAAGCCACACACTTGGCTTCACCAACAGACAATTTGTTTCCTAGAGGTGCGGAGGTAGGAAGTCCAGAATCAGTGTTGTCAGGTTGGGTTTCTCCGGAGGCCCCTCTCCTTGGCTTGCAGAGAGTCACATGTGCTTCTCTCTACACACATCCCTAGTGCCTCTTCCTCTCGTTTGGACAGATTAAAGCCTCACTGTTATCACCTCATTTGTCTTTAATTACCTCCTTGAAGGTTCTGTCTCCAAATACAGTCACATTGGGAGTTGGGACTTCAACATAGGAATTGGGTAAGTGGGCATAATTCAGTCCTTGAATAATAAGGATTTTGATGTTTTTCTCCAACCGTTTAAAAATGTGAAAAACATTCTTAATTTATGGGTCATACATGTATAGGCTGCATTTGGCCTGCAGGCTGTAGTTCCACTGTTACTATTTCTAGTCAACTGTGCTTCCCAAAGGAACAAGAACGTGACACAGGAAACACTGATAATGGACTTTGATGCAGGGAGAGGGATGAAGAGGATCCCTGGCCTTCTAGGTGCTTGGGGGGATCTCAGGTCCCTAGGGAAGCACCCCATAGGGCCAGGCAGAGGCCCTTGTGCTGCAGTCTGGACATGGAGCAGACCAGGGCTGCAGATGTCAGCTGTGGACAGGTGCGGGGGTCCACAGAAGCCTTGCAACACTCAGCACTGCTGTGATGGTGGGAGCAGTGGTGAGGGATGAAGCTCTTCCCATTTTGCATTCTCGGGCCTAACAAAAGGATGAAACTTTTTTCTGATACCCACTGGGATGTGGACTTCCTGAGCAGTACATCTCGCTGGGTGCAGTGGCTGTCTTGACATCCACAGTAACCTGGGAGGAATGCCACCCTAGGTTTACGTGGCCTGGCAAGCTGGGCTTACACAACAGAGGAGGTTGGAACATGCCTAAGATGAACCTGACCTATTTTGAAAAGTTGATTAGAACTAGCTAAAAGATTTGATTTAGTAATAAATTACACAGTTAGTTTAGGAAGATTGTTCCTTGGGCCCGGTGCTGTGGTGTAGTAGATTAGGCCTCCACCTGTGATGCTGGCATCCCATATGGGTGCCAGTTCAAGTCCCGGCTGCTCCACTTCTGATCCAGCTCCCTGCTATGACCTGGGAAAGCAGCAGAAGATTGCCCAAGTCCTTGGACCCCTGCACCTCCGTGGGAGACCCAGAAGACGCTCCTGGCTCCTGGCTTTGGATCAGCTCAGCTCTGGGCATTGCGGCCATTTGGGGGAGTGAACCAGCAGATGGAAGACCTTTTTGTCTCTTCCTCTCATCGTCTGTAACTCTACCTGTCAAATAAATAAAATCTTAAAAAACGTGGAGCAGCTGGAACACAAACCAACTCCCATATGGGATGCCAGCATCCCAGCTGGCAACTTTACCCATTACACCATAACATCAGCCCCCTATGAGAATGGTTTCTTATTTTTATTATTTTAAAACACAAGTTGTACATGCACATGACTTAAAAATCAAACACTAGGGGCTTATAAGGAAAAAACTGCGGTCCTGTGCCCTCGTGGGCAATGCCTGCCAATGTTGTAGTCAGGAAGCTGGGAGGTAGCCCTGCCAGTGCCTGTCCCTGGGGAGCTAGCAGCACCCTGCTCTTCTTCCTGAAGGAACTCCAGCAGTGAGGATTTTTCTCTGCTGGGTACACCCGCCCTAAGCCCACAGAGCACGTGGCTCAATCCTCCAGTCGCATGTGTCTGCACTTGGAAACTATTTCTCCCACTCTGGGCTCCTTGTGCCTCCTCATCTGAACTTCCAAGACTCCGTTGAAGGCTCAGGCCCTGTTCCCCTACCCCCAGCTCCATCTTTGCACCCTACCCCTCTCCCGAGTGACCTAGCAGCAGAGTGGGGTCAACTCTGTAAACCTCTGCTGTGTGCTAGTGCAGGGTAAGTCTGTCTCTGACCTGCTCCCCGCCTGAGCCGTTCCCTTTATCTGCACCTGCGTGTGGTCCTCGCCCCTTGGAAGCTCCCTTGGGGCTCCCTCACTTTCTCTCCCAGCCTTGTCTTAGTTAATTGCTGTCACCTGAATCCCGAGAGTCAACCTTGACTTTATTTTTGACTTCTTGTGTTTTAAAAAACCTTTTAATCTTTTTAAAAGATTTATTTACAGAGAGGGGGAGAGAGAGAGAGAGCTTCCATTTGCTGGTTCATTCCCCAAATGGCTGCAATGTCCAAGGCTGGGCCAGGCCAAAGTCAGGAGCCTGGAACTCCATCCAGGTCTCCTGTGAGGGTGGCAGGGTCCAAGTACTTGGGCTGACTTCTGGTGCTTTCCCAGGTACATTCCATTAGCAGGGAGCTGGATCAGAAGTGGAATAGCTGGGACTTGAACCAGCGCTCATATGGGACGTTGGCATCAGAGGCAGCAGCTTAACTTGCTGTACCACCGCACCAGCCCCCAAATCCACTAAGTCCATGTCAGTTCACTCTATTACCCGTTTCTTAGAATGCATGTTCCTCTTTCGTCCTACCACCTCTCCTGAACACCAGTTTCACTGTCCCAACCCTCCACCTATGGTGGGCTATATCTGGAAGGCAGAGAGACATGTAATAGGGTCATTGGCAACCTGATAGTGCCACACCAGGGAGTGCAACACCAGGGAGTGTTGAGGCTGTGCCTGGGTTCCTGGGGTCAGAGCAGTGGAGAGCCACTTCAACAGAATGAACAGGCTGGGACCGGTGCTGCCGCTCATTTGGTTAATCTGCCTGCGGCGCTGGCTTCCCTTATGGGCGCTGGGTTCTAGTCCTGGTTGCTCCTCTTCCAGTCTAGCTCTCTGCTGTGGCCTGGGAGGGCAGTGGAGGATGGCCCAAGTGCTTGGGCCCTGCACCCACATGGGAGACCAGGATAAGTACCTGGCTCCTGGCTTCAGATCAGCGTAGCTCCGGCTGTAGCAGCCATTTGGGGGGTAAACCAAGGAAGACCTTTCTCTCTCTCTCTCTCTCTCTCTCTCTCTCTCTCTCTCTCTCTCTGTCTAACTCTGTCAAATACATTTAAAAAGAATGAACAGGCTGATGGAGACTCCATCCCCATGTTTTCTAAACCTGCTGCTCTTGGCTCCCAGCTGCTGTTAGCCAGAATGCCTCACAGGAAGAGCAAAAACATGGCCTTCTGTCTGTGCTTGTGCAAAGCAGGCCGTGTGGGGACACAGACTGCTTTCCCCCAGTAGGGTGCAAGGTCTGCTGGCTCAGAGCAATGTAGCCAGAGTCAGGGCAAATGTCACAAAGCCAGAGCACAGAGCACCCTGCCCTTGGACACCAGCCAGCTGCCAATTCAGGTGTTCCCGCCGACTTCTCGTGTTGAATCATTCACTAGAATAATTCCTCAGCAAAATTCTGTACTTACTATTACAGCTCTATTATAGCAATGAAATGATGTGAATTGGGAGCAAAAGAAGCAGAAGGTGAGGTCTGGGAGAGTCCCAGACATGAAGCTACCATGTTCTCTGCTTGGAGAGTCAGAACATGTCACTGTCTCAAGACTTGGATCACCAACCAGGAAGGTCACCCACACTTCAGTCATTGGCTCCATGAATGAACCCAATCACTTACCACTCTCTTCTTTCTGGCTCAAAGCCTCAACCATCTAATTGCCTGATCTTTGGCATGACCAGCCCCATCCTGAAACTAGAAACCCGTGGTGAACCCCATTATTAGCATAAACTGTGAATAACAAAGACTTGGGAGGCTCCCCAGGAACCTGGGACAAAGGTCATCGTCATTATACAGCCCCATATTTCCCCTATTAGGGCTCCCTCCACCTAGCTGTCCCCAATGAGTAACAGGCCTTGGTAGCTGTCTGCATAAAATGCCTCTACCAGGTGGAGCCTTAGGATCCTTTTAGGAGAGATATTTCTGTTTATTTCCTTCTTCACATCCCTCCTAGCACATCTCATCTGCAGCAGTGAGAAAGTGATCTTTTCTTTTGAAAGGTGGCGGGTAGGGAGGGAGAGACGGAGACAGAGAGATCTTACATTGACCAGTAAATTCCCCCACATGCCTGCAACAGCTGGAACTGGGCCAGGCAGAAGCCAGCAGCCAGGAATGCCATCTGGGTCTCCCAAGTGCATGGCAGGGGCCCAAGTACCTGACTCATCACCTGCTGCCTCTCAGGGTGTGCCTTAGCAGGAAGCTGGATCAGAAGCAGGGCTTTGACTCTGAGACTCTGATTTTGGATGCAGGCATCTTACCACTGTGCCCAACACCAGCCCCTTGAGAATGTGATCTTAATTGGGGGTGATTACACAGTAGGGTGAAGCTCTTTCACAATACTGTTTTTTCACATGACTTATACCCAAACACATCCTAAATGCACAGCTGACTCATGCCTTCTAGTCCATTTCAGTGTGTTTGTACACACGGTGCCCACACGCCAGACATGTCTGCACACATCAGAACCTCCACACCACTTCAGTCATCTCTCAGCCCTGCTGGAGACTGACTCCTGCCCTTCACACCTTTGCCTACTCCAGGCTCACTCCAGGGAACATTTCCATGGTAGGGAGATCAGGGAAGAAGCTGACGTGGCACTCTGCATGACAAGTGACAGTAGCTGACATTGGTTGGGGCACGGGGTGGGGGGAGGGGGCGGAGTAGAGTAGGTGGCTTGGAATACAGCTTGGAAGTAGAATGGGCCCAGCTGAGAGTGTAAATGAGGGGCAGAGGAAGAACCAAGGGTGATGCCCAGGGGTGTTTGAGTAGCTGATTAGAGAGGGTTGAGTTGGCAATCAGTGGAGCAGGAACAGGTTTGGCGAAGCCTTCCCAATCTGACGCTATGGGAAAACGGCAGAGGAGAACATGAATAAGGTAACTTGTTTTCACAATAAACTGTGAGCTCGGGAGCATGGGATCCCCACTCCCTTGCATTCTCATGGTACATTTGGAGATTGCTAAGAATAAATGTCTGATGTGAATAACTATTATTATATTCATTTTGGAGGCTCCAAGTTAAGTGAACGATTCACATTCATAGCAAATAAGCAGTAGAGCTGTGATTTGAACTCAAGGCCGTCTGGTTCCGGAACCTCGGAGCTCCCCCACAAACCAGGGCTGCCTGAACAGAGGATCAGTGGCTGCCCTTTGAGGGCTCACAGGTGGAGGGCTTGGGGCTAGATGGCATAAAGATGAAAAAAAGACTTGGTGCTTGCCCACCTGAAACTCACAGTCCGGGAG